GAATCAAGAGTGGAGGAGAAAATGTTTATCCTGAAGAAGTAAGTTGCCTTCATCGTCACCACTTTCAAGTTTCATCTTAACTATGTTGGGGTCTTTGTCATATTACACTATAAATTCATGCAAAAACCATATAACATTAGTATTTGCCTCTAGATGAGACAATACGATACATAAAGCCACATAGGCTAGAAATAATTGAAAACTTGTTATGAAGCTAGAAATTATATTGCTTATTATAATAATAATGTAGCTAGTATGGTTAATTTGCTAATGTAGTTTTTAAAATCGCAGATGTGCTGATTAACTTGGCATTCTGTAGTATTTCTTCCACACAAACTGATGAATACTAAGTGATGCCAGAAGGCTAGAATGGTCTATGCAATCCGTAATAAATCTGTAACACTGACAGTTCAAGTTTTAAAATAAAAAAAAAATGTCTTGCCTATACTACTATAATGTTTACTTGTCTGTGCATGTTACAACCTGCCGATAGAACATAAGAGTAACTCTTTTTTGGTTGTTCTGTGATCATAAAGAATTGTATGTGGCATCCAGCCTCAAGCCCTCCTACAAAAATAACCATATTTGTCTTGTGCAAAAGGTAGAGGCTGTCCTGTCACAACATCCTGGTGTTTCTGGCAATGTAGTTGTTGGACTTCCAGATTTGCGCTTGGGAGAGATGGTTGTTTCCTGCATTCAGCTCAAATGCAATTGGCAGTGGGATGATTTAAGCTCCAGCCCTCCATCAGTTAACTACTTGTCTGCTGACATCCTCCGCTGCTTCTGTAAAGAAAAACAATTGACTAGGTATGTCTTTAATCCATCATCTGCACCTTTGTGACATCTGGAATATATATATGAGAGCATTTGATGCATGGTATCTTTCTTTAAGTCGTTGATGCTAAAATCTTTTCCAGGTTTAAAGTACCAAAAAGATTTATTAGGTGGAGGAATCAGTTTCCAGTGACGACAACAGGCAAAATAAAAAGAGACCAAGTCAGAGCAGAACTCATGTCTAATATGCAGTCAATGTCCAGCAAATTATAGAACATATTTCTTGCAGTCTGTAATAAATTATAGAGAAAGGGGTCAATTAGACCCTTCCACAATTGTACTAATCACATTAGCCAAAAAAACGGATGATGACCATTTTTTCTTTTTCTTTACTCTCTCATTCTTCTTCCTTTCTCTTTCTTGGTGGCATGTTTGTCCTACTCCCCCTTAATTCTTCTCCGTCCTTTTTATGTTATTATCTTCACTTTTTCTTTATCCTTTTCTTTTTCTTCGTTTCCTTTATCCTGAATCTCCATGGACGAAAGAGAGCTTGGGTCGATGTACTTCATCAAAGTAGGGAGCACTTGTTTCATCACCTTATACATGCAGGCATGCACGTGCCTCAACTATGTACTCTTCTCCCATTCCCACTGTCATCCGCTTTCTTTTCCTTCTTTGCGGCGGCTTTTTCAGCGGGTTATCATTATTCTTTTATTCAGCTGAGATCGGCAATTGATTATGGGGATCTTCTTTAGCTGCCGACGGAGTTGACACTACTTCCACGGTTGTTCTACTTGTTCCTTTTCTTTGAAAATGGTAATGTTAATTTGATATGGGTTAAAAAATTAATAAAATTCATGACAACTTAGGTCCCAGATCGATAAATTTAAATCATTCAGGTTCTATAATGATAGTTTTTCATCATTCAGGTCCTATGTTGATACATTTCATCTTTTAGGTCCCGGATTGATAGTTCATCTATCTTTCGGATTCTGAATTGATAAAATCCTTAAATTAAGGAAATTAGGCACATAACCCATTTTATGAATAAATTTAATGATTTTGAAATTACTTTTCCTAATATTCTGATTGAATATGCAAGTAAATATGTCAAAATCTCTAAATCATATAAAAATACTAATCAATTTTCTTTTATTTGACAATTGAATTTGTTCATATAAGGGATTTTGCGCATAATTAAATAAAACACAAGGGGGTTTGTCGCATTTTTTAAATCACAGAGGTTAATGAGTCTGTGATTTGGTGCACTAAACCGGAAGTAAAAAACGAAAAAGAAAACAAGAGTGAAATCCTACACGTGGACCAGCCATGTTGGCATACTAACCTGCTAACCCATTGGTAGCAGTTAAAGTACTTATTTGATTGGTTTTTTAAAGTTGGTGGATCTAATTGAGTGTTCTTTTAGTTTGAAAGCTTAATTGACTTTTTTTGATATATTTGGAGGATTTATTTGACAATTTTTCCTAGGAAAAACATTTTTGTGGTCCTATTTTGAGAAGAAGCTTGACATTGACAATTTTCTCTTGAGGATAATACCTTGCATAATTATGCCAACTGAAACTGTGGTGATGATTTAGCTGTCTTAGAGCCTGTTTGGTAGCACGAAAATCGGCTGATTTGGTTGATTCAGCTGAAACTTATGAAGTTCTGGCTGAAGTGGCTGCATTGACTGATTCTGCTGATTTAAGAAAAAAATAATTTTAAAATATATTTTATTAATAAAATAAAGAAAAAATTATAAGTAAAAATGGCTAAAATTGTCATCTATAGTAACTTCAGCCAATACAACCAGAAAAGTAACTCCAACCTTATTTTTTATGCTTATTACACAATTCAGCGCGCGAAAGCAAAAGTTACGTGTTTAGTGAAAAAGTTGGCTGGTAAGCCTGATAAGCCGAAAAACAATGTTGCCAAACGGCCTCTTAATCTCCAAGAATGTTGTCATACATCTTAAGTGAGGCCGGGCGATGCACTATTGTTTCTTAGGTGAGGGCCATTGGGCCAAACTGTTGGGTGTGTCTCGGAAAAACGAAGAAATATTAATTAATAAAAATAATTAATTAATTTAATTAGCTAAAGAAAAACAGAAAAAGAGACGGGACAGAGTTTAGCCAGAGGTCGTGCTACGCACGATGTCCTTAAAACGTATTCGTCGCCTCCCACGGTGCTAGGAGCGTTGCAACGACCGTTTCCCAGGATACGGTGGCTAACGAAGTAACGTTTGAGCACACAAACGAGAGTTCCGGTGAACGAGAACAAAGGCAGAACACTCAGGAATTTTCGGAGTAGCTGGAAGTGTTTTAGAGCTCAAAATATGTGAGGAATGTATTGTGTGTTCTGTTGTTGCAAACCACCTGCCAACCATTTATAGGAGGATTTGTTGTGTGTTAAATGGAGTGTTAATGGACCTGAACGTTGGACATCAATGACCAGTCCGTTAGGCATTGAATCATCCATAAATTGTCCATTTAACGCAACATTAAAAGAGAAGAACGTTGGACATTTATTGTTGAAACATCTTGGAGCAGTTCTGGTGCGCGACCAGAATACCCCCACCAGAAGAGGAGCAGTTCTGGTGTGCGACCGGAATACCCTCACCAGAAGAGGAGCAATTCTGGTGCGAACAGAACTCGAGGACTTCGGGATTTGATCGGCACCCCCCTGCGCGTAAGAGAGAGCCTTTACCTTTAGGAATCTTAACTCCTTAAAAGAGGCTTCCCTTTATAAGGGGGTGAAAATCCCTTGTGTTTTCCGGTGTGATATAAAACACACTAGAAACTCGTGTGCGCAGGTCGCCCGCGCACACGAGTCGCGGTTTTTCCATTTCAACGAGTGAACTTCGATAATCAATTTCGCATTCACCCGTTATCCGTTTTGAGCATACCATATATCTTTGAATGATAGGTTTTTGGAAGACATTCGTGTCCGCAGGTCGCCCGCGCACACGAGTCATGGTTTTTCTTCTCCGTTTCGGGATTTGATCGGCACCCCTCTTGTGCATAAGAGAGAGCCTTTACCTTTAGGAATATTAACTCCTTAAAAGAGGCTTCCCTTTATAAGGGGGTGAAAATCCCTTGAGTTTTCCGGTGTTGTATAAAACACACTAGAAACTCATTATTTTCCCAGTTTTTCCATTTCAACGAGTGAACTTCGAGAATCAATTTCGCATTCACCCGTTATCCGTTTTGAGCGTACCATATATCGAATTGTAGCCCTTAACAAGGACAATTCGAAACCACTTTGACCCGACCCAAATCGGAAGTGGATCCCACTCAAATAATTTCTCCAAAATAACCATTTAATGCAATTTTAACACATTTTTCCAACACAAACCCGAACTCCTATATTTGAAAACTGTTGAGAAAAATATTATCCATCCCGTTTAAAAGTTCACATTGCAAAATGACACGATTATTTAGGCAATAATTAAATAATGTAATTTATGTATATTTTGAGGAATAATTTTAATAGATTATAATATAATGTGGTTAATGGTGATAATTGTGATGTTATAGATGTACTACTTCCGTACCATGATTTTAATTTGATTAGTATAATATTATGAAAGTTATAAATTTTTACTTTATGAAAGTATTTTTAACAAAGAAAAATTTCATATCATTTTTATATTATAAATAATTTCCAATAAATATATATTATTGGTCAAAATTTTGGATTTGGCTAATAATTTTGGGATGGCGGTAATATTATTTTTAATATTTCATGATTAAATAGTCATTTAAGAGTGTTAATGATTTTCTAAAATAAAAATGAGAACGTTTATATAGCACATCCAAAAAAGAAAAAAAACATTTATATGGGACGAAGGGAGTACTAAGGTTGTTATTGCTTAAAATAGGAACAAAAAACAATATCATTTCTCCTCAAAGTTTAGTTATTACCTCAAAGAATAAAATGAGCATAAACAACCTCTTCACGTAACAATACATTTTTTGGCTATGTTCCTTTTATGAGATCTAGTGGAATGAAATGGAGACTAAAACGAAGGGTCCTTTTGGTATCACTTAAATCGGCTAGGCGGTTGAATCTGCTGAAATTGATAAAGTTGTGACTGAAGCGGTTGAATTGGCTGGATTTGCTGAAGAATGGGGAATTCAAAGTACACTGTGTTAATAAACATAAGAAAAAATTATATGAAAAATAGTTAAAATGTGTTGGGCTCCCTCCTTAATTGAGAAGTTACTGAGAACATCTCTAGAATACCGTGGAGATGCCTAGAATTCTCTAACTGTGTGTGGAGAAGGATTGAATGTTCTTGAATATTCTAGAGCTTTCTAGAGAGGAGGGTCATAGAATATTCTAGAACATTGTTGAGTTTTTAGAGGAGTGTCCAGATCCTTCTAGAAGATTAGATAATCTTGTGGATACTTTTGGAAGACTCTAGAAGTGTAGTAGTGCATAGAAAGTTCTAGAGAAATTTTGAGGAGATTAATATAAATAGGGTGAGACTCATGATTTCTAAGTGAGAGCCTTGAGTAAGAGCCATCTGAGAGCCTCCTCGAATGATGAGAGAGAGCCTTGAGGAGAGCTCTTGAGTGAGTGACAGACTACTTGAGATAAAAGAAGGAGAGTGATGGAGTATATGGCCCGGGAACCCCCGGTCCACAGACTCCTACTACTCCAATAAAGGCCCAATAGGCCCAGGAAGCACAACAGGCCCAAATCTCAGCACCCAGAGTACCAAGCGACCCACAGTGCGCACCAGGGGTGCCTTCGGACAACTGGTCGAAGGCTCTGATTCTAACAGGAGGGTCAAATCAGGAAAACAAAGTTACTGGGAGAAAACGGCGAAAATCAGTAGCCCTCGGCACTTAGAGCCCTCGGCACTAAGGAGGTCCCCGGTACTCAGAGCCCTCGGCTAGTCATCTACAGCCGAGGGCACCTTTCCGACATAATATCCGCTCCACATGCGTATGAATCACCGTACCAAGTACGACGTCACATCCAACAACCGCATTAAATGCGGCCACATGCGAGTGCCAGCGCCAACCAGTTGCGGTGACCCCTCGGCCAATGGATGCTTGACACGTGTCACTATCTGGCATTTATTGCTACTATAAATAGCACCCCATTTCCCCCTTTGTAACCCAGAAGCAAAGTACGCTTAATACATATCGAATATACACTCTCTCTCTTACTTATTTGCTCTGATTTCTCTCTAGTTATTCTCCGCAATAACCCCTCGGATAAGCTACCCCCGGGTATACTATCCATCATTTGGTGCTCTCGTTGAGAGGTCGAACAATCAAGTAAAAAACCCTCCCCCTCGACCAAACACAAAACACCTAGCTAAAATGGTGAGAACAACTCGTGCCAACTCCAAGAATGTTGAGGACAGGAACCTGGCCCTCGGCGAGGTCGACGTCC